TTTCATTTCTACTATTATTTATATTATGTTATTTTATAGTGTTGGTAGTTGAACTCAGGATCTTATGCATATTCATTGATCTATGTCCCCACGCCTCACTTTTATTCTTTACTTTTCCATTTCCATACTATCTCTGTTATGTCATTCATTCATACATTTTTCACTTATATATTATTATTCACTTATATAAGTCATTATTCACTTTTATATTTACTCATTAAGTGAATCTTAAACATGAGCTATTTTTGGCTAGGAATTATAGTAATACATGAATCTTTTAATTCTCTTTTCTCTGTGAGTTCCAGGTGAAAATTTGCTCATGAGAAAAAACAGCAGGTGGGAAACAAGGCACTCCTTTATCGTCGGTCAAGCTAGTGCTTGCCTTTCCTGAGGAAGTGCCCTCGTAAGGCCAGATGGTGCCGTGTGTGCCAGCCCCGGGGAGGCCTCTTTCTTTCTCTCAGCTGTGTACTAGGGCTCTGTATGGCCTCTCTGGTAGATATCAACTGATGAGCACACTGGAGGTCTAACAGTTTGTACGTTCGCTTGATCATAAACGTTGTCCCCTGGGGTCCAAGAATCCACTAAGTGGATCTCTAATTTCTTATCTCTGGCATGAGAAGCACAAGGAAAGAGGTCAGAAATGGCAGGTGTTAGGCTTGCATCTAGATGTCTCTCCAAAACCTCAGGTGGTCCTAGGTGGGGCTTCTGGGAGGTGGCTAGAGCTAGAGTTTGTGATACTGGGATTAAGCATGTGATGCTGAGGTTGATGTATGGTGTGGTGCTGGGACTGTGGGTGCCCCACTGTAGTCCGAGTATGCTGCCTGCTGGGTAGCCTGGATAGAATACAAGGGACAGAAGAGGGCTGCTGTTGTTGCTCGCTGCTCCCTTGCTTCTTTGCTGCTTAACTACCTACCTGCTTTTTATTGCTTCTCCCCACAGTGCCCCTCCTATCACGCCCCCTTGCCCTGGAGCCACCAATTATGGACTGAAGCCTCTACAAATTGTGAGACAAAATAAACCTTTCCTCCCTTAACTTTGGGTAATGCATATTTTGTCTCAGCAAAGAGAAAAGTAATAAAGATAGAGGCTTTCCTGGAGTAGACAGATACGTTCCTATTCCCCTATGTCTCTCATGTGTAGGTCTTTGCTGTCCACACTAGTTGCAGGGGATAAGAACAGTGGTTCAGACATGGTTCTTGCTCTCATGGAATTCGCAGCCTGCTAGGAAGATCAGTACACACATAATTCAACACAGAGAAATGCTTCAACTCTATATACTTGAACATAGAAACTTACCAAAGAAGGGGACAAAGAGAACTTTATTTAGAAGACGAGGGAGACAAAAATTCAATAAGTAGATAATTGTAGATGGTAGAAGAAATTGTGCTGGAGGAGGAGTCAAAGGACAGAGTGAGTTTGGAAAGTTTATTTCAGGTGAAGCAGAGATGCTGAAGTGACAGGAAGTGAAGCTAGAGATGAAGGTGAGTCAAATGTTACATGGTTTTAAGAACTGATTTCTGCCACATAGAAAATATAGACTACCTGAAGAGAGCTGGGGATGCAACCTAGTGGTAGAGTGTGAACTTAGCATGTGTGAGGCCCTGGGTTTGATCCGCACCGGAAAGGGGGAAGTGCCTAAAGATTTTAACCTCGTGATGTGGTCTGAGAGATATTTTGCAATGATTATTTGATTGTATGGAGACTATGTTAGAACACACAAAACGAATGCAGGGAGGCCTGTGCCTCTTTACCCAAAGACCAAACAATGACAGTATCCAAATAGGAGATGTTGGTGGCCTGGATTAAAAGAGTGATGATAAGTATGAGACAAGTAGACAGGTATAACCGGCCTTTATTACTTAGGAGTGAGGGACAAAGCCACATGAGAGCTAAGAAGGGCATGGAGGGAAAATAAAGGGGGGCTCCACAGGAAAAGTGACCTTTAAAGTAGTGTGGCACAGTGGTCATCCCTGCATCGTGGCCTGGACATACATATGGACCCCAATCATGACCTAGTGCTTGGGCTGGTTGTGTGGTGTCTCTGAGCCTCTCTCTACAGGGAGGGAATTGAACTGTATAACTCTGAAGTTCCCTAGATAATTTGCAAGTCTGCCTTATGGTCAGGGAAGGCGGATAGCATATAGCATAAGCCCAACTAAGATATTGTGCAAGATAGCAGCAGTAGGATCAACTAGCGTTGGTCAGAGAAGAGAAGAGGAATTTGTGGAAGAATCTTTGAGTTGCGCTTGGCACATAGTTATTATTGTGCTGTTCTGGGAGCCACTGACTTGTGGAAGTGACCTACAGAGATGATGGCACAGGGCATTCTGGGCAAAGGGAGTAAGATGGGCCAAAGTCCAGAGATACAGAAGCACAAGGTCTGTTCAGGGAGAAATCAATTTCTGGTGTTGACTTTAGGGACATGTAAAGGAATAAAAAAATAAGAAGTAGATTTGCAAAGGCATGTTTTGGTCAAATTAGGAAGCATCTTTATGCCAATATAAAGTATTTGAATTTTATCCTTTAAATGGTGGGGAGCCTCTGAATATTTTCCAGCCAGAGTGATGTCAATGAGAGCAAGAAAATGAAATAGATTTACTCAACAAAATGTATTGAACATTTAATATATGTGGTTATTACTGAGACAGCACACAGCCCTGGACCTTGTGGAATGACTTAGATAATAAGCAATAAATGAAGAAAAATGCTTTCAGAGAGTGCCAAGAACTTTATAATAAAATAGGAAAATGTGTTAGGAACTTGGGTAGGAAGAGACTTCTTTGAAAATGTGTCCTTTGATTTATCCAAATGAAGAGACAAAGCCAGCCTTATGTACAGCAGGGGGAAAAGTATTGTAGGCAGAGGAACTAATACATACAAAGGGTCCAAGGTGGAAACAGATCTGGTTGTATGTTAGAGAGAGAAAGGTGGCCGGGCCGGCTGGAGTCCAGAAGCAGAGTCCGAATGTGGAAGAGAAGGAGGAGGCGGGAGATGGAAGGGCTGAGAGGGTAAGAGCACAGGCCGTGGAGCAGTTTGGGTGATATCCTGACTTGGTAGGACACTCAGGGAGGTTCTGAGCAGGGGGGTGACATTGCCCTATGCATGCTATTAAAATTTCACCCAAGTCTCCAGTAGAGAATAGGTATAAGAGCTGGGCATCCGAGCTCGTCGCCCTCCTGCACTCAGAGCGAGGTAGTCTGCTGCCTGGGTATGCATGAATTCCCTTGCAGCTTTTTTGGAATGCCCTTTGTATGCTTTTCATGGTATTTATTTTTTATTCTTATGCTTCACAATAACCTCAGAATGTAGATGGGGCGGGGATTATTCTTTCTGTTTTCCACATAAAAAAATGGTATCCAAAGAGGTAGAATTTCTTATTCATGTGATGAGACTCTTTTAAGTTTATAAATCAGAGAGCAACCCAAACCTAATCTTCTCAGGAAGTATTTGGCATCATGTAGCACAGCTTTGGACAATGACTTTCAGTGGTGAGGGTGGCCTTGTGGGAGTGGCCTACAGTGACCTCGGTTTGAACACTTCCTCCGTAATGAAGACCCTCATGGTGGCTCTGAGCTAAGACAAGTCCTGGTTCCAGCCCTGCCCCTGGTGCTTCTTGGCTCTGCGATCTTGAGCCCAGTGCTTTATCCTTCTGCGTTTGCTACCAAAGCCAAACTCTGCACTTCTAGTGAGAAATAAATTAAGGGAAGGTTGCTTGTAAAGTCCCTAACACCGCACTGTTATTAAATAACTGCTCCAAAACGGTCTCTCCCGGACTCGGATTCCTCCTGGTTCTCCCAAGTGGGCACATAAGTGACCAGATGAAATGATAAATGATGAATGAATGAGTTACTTAAGGAATGGATCACAAAAAAGCATTTGGTGAAGGGAAAGGTGGAGGGCTTGAGCAGGTGACCGCTGAGTGCCAGCTTCATCCTGTGGTGGCAGAGCCAGACGTGGTAGTGCTCGCCTTCAGAGCCCAGCGCTCAGGAGGCGGGGCGGGAGCGTTACAAGCTTGGGGTCAGCCTGGGCATTTTTGTGAGATCCTTTCTCAAAATAATACAGTGACAAAGGGCTGAGAATATGTGTGGTTCAGAGGTAGTGTTGCCTAGAATGCCCGGGGCTTATGCCCCGGAACTGCATAAAGCAAGAAAGAACAAGCAAACAAAACAAAAACAGTGCTAGGTATGGGCCGTGGTAAGACGCTAGAAAAGTTTCTTCTCCTTATTGAAGAAGCAGCACAGCATCAGGTGTAAACATAAACACACAATTACAAGTCAGTGTAATAAATGTTGTAAAGATTAAAAACAGGCACACTAAGGATTCAGTTGGGGTAAAACCAAGAGAGATTTTTTCAGTACGGCACTGCACTTACACTGGCCTTTGGAAATGTATACAGAAGTTACTGAGATAATGCATACAAGGAGAGCTAAGTCAGACAACTCTTTCTCTTCCCAGGGAGAACAATGCTTTTGCATGTTCCTGATCATTGCATTTGTTTTGTCTGTGGTCATGCTCTTCACATGGATAGAAACCTCCAACGAATACCATGGCTTTGACTGGTGAGTTGCGCTTTTTACACTTTCTTGTGTAAGGGCTCTTGGGTCTGGTGACCCCTGGCTTTACCTGAAGTTGAACAGATCCGTGGCGCAGTAGGGAGGGTGACAGAGGTGAACTTCCACGGCATGGGGGTGAGAGGCCGGACCCGGGGCAGGAGAAGGGTGCTTGGTGCTGTGATCTTCCCTTGAGGAGTAGCTCTGGGGGAAGCCTTCTCTCTGCTTCCTGTGATGTCAGCTCTCAGCTAGCGCTTGCTGTCGTCCTGTCCCCGCTCTTGGTCTGGGCTAGCGATGCCACACTCCTTGGCCATCCTGACCTTTGCTCCTGAACCTTATCTCCTCTGCTCCTCCTACTGTCCTTGGCGTCCTCCCTGAGCCCAGACCACAGGAACAGGTGCCACTCCTCCGCACCCTTTTGTGGCCGAGCTCCCACTCCCGGCCTCCTCTTCAGCTGCCAGCTTTTCTGGCCTGGTGCTCTCATTTTGTTGAAAACCTGATCTATTACTTGGGGGGAGGCTATTTTTGGATATGAGGGTTTTTTTCTCTCAATAGAATATAGTTTGCTTCCTTTTATAGAAGTAAAATATAGCTTGTTATTTTAAATGTAAAAATGCAGAAATTAGAAAATACTTGGTCAGCCACAATGTTGATGACAATCACTTGCTATGGATTTTACAGCCTTCTGTCCTTACTTTTATATTATGATGTTTGTGCTGTTTATATATGTTGATTTCATTTTTCACTTAAAATAATCATAAATACTTCAACAAATCATTAAAACTCCTAATGAATATTATTTATTTAAAGTGGTCCTAAAAAAAAAATAAAAAAAATAAAGTGGTCCTAGAATATTTCATGACATGAAGATACTATAACACGTGTAGTTTTTTTATTGTTAAGCGTTATGAGTATTTCCAATATTCTTATTTTGATAAAATAATAGTACAGAGAAATCTTTATATCCTTACTTATGTACTAAGAATAGAGTCCCACAAGTAGCATTACTGAGTCAAGAAAAATAAACATTGTTAAAATTCAGTATGCATTTTGCCAAAGTATTTTCACAAAGATTATAGTAGTAGTTTCCACTCACTGTAGAGGTATATGAGTATCTTTATTTTAATTTTCTTTCTTTCTTTATTGGATACAGGGTCTCACTGTGCAGTTTGGACTCATAGTGACCCTCTTGCCTCAGCCTCCCGAGCCCTGGGACTGTAGGGGTGTGCCACCATGCTTGGTTTTAGGGCTGGCACAGCATATGGCACCTAGGATTGAACTCACCTCTTTGCGTTTGCCAGGCAGGTGCCTAGACCACTGCTTACTCCCCAGCCTGAGTGTCTTCATTTTAATCTGCCAATGGAAGCACTAAATATTCTAATTTTTATTGCCCTTGATTAATTTTCTTATGGAATTATTTTTGCTTTGTTTTAATTTGAATCAGTGAGTTTCAAACTATTTTTTTTTAATCCACACAGTCTATTGAAAACATGTAAGCTCTTAACCACTCAGCAGAACTGCCTCTAGAATTATTTCTCTACATAGAAGTACGATGTAAGTGCTGTGTGGATGGAAGACTGGGTAAATTCTTCTCTGATGGATTTCTTCCTGGCGCTACTTCAGGCATGCATTGCCCCCTAAGCCAGTGACCACACAGATGGGATGCCTGCTCCCACACTGAGCTGCACCTTCCAAGCCCAAAATATATCAACAGTGTTCCTGTGAACAGACAGGCAGATCTTGAGGGTGCTTCTGGCAACTTCTTGGTCTCAGTAGCTCTGCTTTTATAGCTCTGGCCAACTACTATGAAACACCTTAAACTTCCACAGTGGCTTATAATTGTAGGATGCTGCCACTTCTAATAATAATTTGAGGGGTTAGGATAATGTCTCCCTATTCCTTTTTTTGTGTGTCTATTATATCGTTCAGGTTTTATTTTTTCTATCAGGTTCTTACATTAAGAAGACAATATAATATTTACACATGTGGGTTTGATTTTCAAACTATTTTTTAAACATATTTTCCTGTTAAATTTTGCTTCCTCTGTCATTTATCCTTTGGGATTCTTCAGTTATTTTTTTCATCATTTTATGTGGGATTTTTACTTATGCCCTAGTTTCAAATTACCCCCCAACATTCATATTTAATGACCTGTATCTTTGTACATTTAAAGTATTTGGCACTAAGATCTGTAGATGACAAAGTTTGTGCAAGATCTAATATGCAAATTCTTGAGTTAAATCAGTTCACAGCAAGAATGGTATAATGTTGGTGAGGAAGCCTCTGGTCATCAGTCTAGATTGGGCTCTTGTTACTTCTGTTATCCAGTGCGCTACTCCTTGGTAGTCCTTAGACGTGTTTTTGGATCACTGTTCCCAATGCGCTACAATCATGGCCCAGGAAACCTTCTCCATCGCCCCCTAACATGAAATGCTCACTGGGAAACTCTTGTACTTTCCTTGTGGTTGACCTCCAGAATACGATGAACAAGTTGAGTGGAAGTTTGAGTGTTTACAGCTTTAGTTACTCTTTCAGCTTCTGAAGCTAGGGAAACAATATGATGTTTACACATGCAGGTATGATTTTTTTTCACTTATAAGTATGGTCTCTAGTTATTACCAATTGATTTTTGTGCAGATTGAGAGATAGGGATCTAGTTTCAATCTTCTACAAATAGATATTCAATTTTTCCAGCACCATTTGTTAAAGAGGTTATCTTTTCTGTGCCAAATGTTTCTCCAGAATCAGATACTTATTGTTGGAATGGCTTGCTTTGGTGTTCTCTACTCTGTTCCAATTGATCTAGATGTTTATTTTTGTGCCCCTACCATGCTGTTTTTATTACTATAGCTTTGTAGTATACTTTGAAGGTAGACATTGTGATGCCTCCAGCCTTGATCTTTTTGCTTAGGAGTGCTTTAGCTATTTTGGGTCTTTTGTATTTTGAATTCAGGATTTTTTTCTAATTTTGTAAAGAATGCCACTATTATTGTTGTTATTATTATATTATAATGGTAATATGACCATTTTGATAATATTCATTCTGCTAGCCCTTGAATGTGGAGGTCTTTTATTTTATTATTTATTTATTTTTGTATTTTAGGGAAGGATCTACAGGGTGTTCAGGGTCTCACTACTAGATTGCACTCATAGTGATTGCCTGTTTACAGCCTCCCATGAGCTGGGATTACAGGTACACGCCACTGCGCCCAGTCTCAATTGCTGTCTCAACACG